GGGCACAGAATACATCTTTGCATTACACCTTGAGCAAGCGTATTCATATCACCTCGGTTTTTTATTACATCTACCATAAATGACTGTAAAAGTTTGCAAATCTTTCGGAAAGACCTTGGCAATTAATTCTTAAGCAGGAAACCTACCAGAAAAAAAATCTCACTAGATTTTCCAACTGTAGTTTTAAAAATGCCTGTTTTGGGTATTAGAACTTCGCACTGATGTCGATGGTCCATTTTCCTGATGTCTGACATGTAGAAAACCCTTAAAAGAGTTTGTCTTCAAGAATGTTTCCAGGAACAATCTGCAGTGTTGCTTATGAATTCATGTTCACAAGTACACTATGTAAAGGACATTTGTGTGGCCTTAGGCAGTCTTTATCGTGATTACTCCTGCTCTGTGATTTGTATGCTTGGTCCTAAGGGTAAGTGTTTAGCGGGTGTGGAGTAGCGCTAAGCCCTGGACTGAAGAATCCTCGCCTTGGAGGCCATGACCACTCCTGTTTACACGTCTTGTTAAGGCCCCACCAGGTCAGGGCACAGCTCTGTGAGCGATCGGTGCGGAACAATGGGAATGAGCCCTCTTCTGCCACATTATACAATTTAATGAGAGAAGAGTGACCAAGCTGGGAAAGGCTCTCTAGATCAATGATTGACGAGAGGCAGGAAAAGGGAAATCCAGAGGACCTGGGCACAAGTCACAGATTTCGGCCTCAGGCTCATGCTACCTGGCTATAAAGAGCTCGCTGGAGGCAATTGATCAGAGAGCCCCTGCATTACAGCTGATTCGGATCCTAAGAAATGGCCCCAAGGCCCTCGTCACCAAGGTGCTGGAGAGACGTTCAAGGCGCCAGACAGCTTTATAGTTCGAGGAGTAGAGCTTTATAGAGGCTTCGACTTGGTCTGTGCTCTCAAGTTAAGGTCGCAATCATTTTCTGAAAAGCGGGTGCATGTGTAACTTGTATGTTGTATGTATGTATACTCATACGTACGTGTGTGGGTGTTGTGCACGTACTCTGTGATTGCGTATTTATGGAAAGGGGAAAGAGAGGAGACAGAACAAAGTTGTTCACAGCAACCAAGAAAAGGGCGGCCGGCCCAGATTCGAGGTAATCTGGTTTTAACGTGACTGCAAGTGGTCTTTGACTGTTCCCCCATCCCCCATAGCCTCACTCGGGAAACAAAAGCACACTCCCCTAGTGGCTTGATATCTCTGACTTCCCTCTCTGATGAATAAAACATCCAGAGGCCTCCAGAGGGTTTTCGAAATTCACGCGGAAGCTGGTTCACTCGGCGCTTTGCCCCCAGGGTCAAAACACGACCCCATTCGTTACATTACGGAACCGCCTGATGCTAGACCTCTTACGACTTGGTTAATTTCAATCTGGTCCCCACAGCGGCTTTCCCCTCTCACAGTCTATTAAACCGAAGTCCCTTTGAAGTGGTCCAGAGAAAACCTCTTTAGTAGCCAGCCCGCCCGCGGGAAAGGACAGTGTCTATACCAAACAAACGTTTGTGGTAATTCATATAATCTGAGACTAAACAAGTCAGTCAGTGAATGACCCTTCCGTTAGTCAGATATCAAATGTTAAGATGCACTTTCAGAAAAAGGTCAGGCAAGGCATAATCATTCCTTGCAGTGCTTTCATTTATTTTTTTTTTGTTGGGGGGGTTATGGGTGTTGAGGTCATCGGGAGATTGCGATATTTCGGTCTCATAAAGCAACCATAGCCCTAGACATCTTAAATACATTGGAAATTAAATTTTTAAGTGTGTGGGGGTAGGGGGAAGGCGAGGGGTATATCATGCCTTCGCTCTTGTTCCTACACCTGGAGTCTCATTACCTGAAGGCACTCATCTTCTCCCCTTTTCCCTCATCTTATTTTAATTACTATCTGAACTGTTCTTGGAAGAACTAAGAGCACTCATCAAAACAATTAGATGACCGTTGGACCACTTCCTTAGAAAAGCTAACTGAAGTGGGAAAGAATTTAATAAGCTACAGGGGCATTTAGCTGAAATGCAAAGTATAGTTGCAAGAGTGTTTTTTTAATAACAGAAAATTTTGATTTCATTAATTTTGACTCAAAAACAGCAGAGAAGATAGCTACGCTTTGGTTTTGTTACCCCCTGTAACTCCCAGTACTAACCATAAACTATTTTTTTCTCAAGGAAATCTCCCCCATGAATAATCATTCCCTTTTCCTCTCCCTAAATAAAATGAATCAAGGTGCAGCTCTCTCTAGGGAGCAAGATTTTTCATCTACAGCAGTTTACACCCATGCCCATCGAGAGTGATAATAAATTATTGTAAGGCTGGAAATAAGTGATGATCGGCAGCGGGTGAATTGGTCTTAGTTTATTTACTGGAAATTGCCAAATCCAGCAAACAACAGCTGCTTCTCCTGTCAGTCTACGGCTCCTCCAATTGCCACAGTTTCCATAGTGTCATTCTCTGATCCCCGTATTTTCCCCCTCCTCTTTTTTTCTTTACCCGAATAGTGGATTGGCTCCGGTACCTAACCTCTTCTAGTTGCTTTTTCTTAACTAGCTTTTTAAAAGAAACTTAAACCCTTTAAGTATTACTTAATACCTCTCTGCATATTCCATCTTAAATTTTAAGTTCTTTCTGAAAATCATAAATCTTGTGATGAATTTATTGGGTGAAGTTTGTACTTGTTTTATCCAAGTTATTTTAACCAAACTTTTTTTTTTTGGTGGAGGAGTAATACATTCATTCAACAACAACAAACTGCTTTTTTAAGGGGTTAATGTGAAGAATACTGTGCTAGAAGCTGAGGGGGACAAAACCGTAATTCAAATAAGTTAAACACCTTTTAAAAATTAAGTTCCCGCTATGTTTTAAGTGCAAAACGGGAACGGCTCCCTCCCTCAAGAAGTTTATAATCTAATAGGGGGTTAGATACCATACACACACGCACGCATACACATAAATAACTATGACATCAGATTGAATGTGACGTGACATGGATCCATATCTCGAGGAGATAAAAAGACCTAACAATCTACGTTCTAAAATTAGTATTCCAAAATCATTGCGAATATAGAAACAATCCGACTACCTTACATTAAAAAAAAATCTTTACTGGATAAACCAGACTTCTTATAACACTGAAGTATATCAGAATGAAATTGGGAGAAGGGGGTTTAGGTGTATAGTTTTGAAACTATATCCTTTGCGTTTTGGTATTCACCCAATCAGTAATTTTTATTATCAAATAGACAAGAAATAGTAAATCAAACAACAACATAAACAAACCTAAAATGTCTATAAGAGATATTTTAACATCATTTTCGTGAAAAATAAAAGTTAAAGATCTCCATAATTAAATATAATTTGCTAGTTTACATTTAGACTCTGTAACTTCCCGCCGACTATTAGGTGGTTCGCAATGGAAAAGCAGCCCCTATTGCATCACGGTTCATACACAGTAGGTGTTAGTTCTGAAGAACCAAAGAATATGTTTTGTTTAGGGAATTCAGATATTCTTAATACGATCTCTCCCCTTTGTTCTGATTTCAAAAACAGCCAGGAACTTTTTTTTAAGAGAGTCTTTTAGCAAGAGATTCCGTAGAGGAAACTGAGAAAGTTTAGTAAACCTGATCTAAAAAGAAAAGGGGAAAAAAAATCCCCTGATCCTTTGATCCACTTGGAATTGTTCTAGTCGACTTAAAATAACATCCAACTCCGAAGTTGAAGGGGGTGGGGAACCAAAACTAGAGGATTATGTAACTATTTATCTCATGAAGATAATTACGCGTTTGACCTAAAGTCACTAATTCTTGCAAACACTCAATTAAATTGTGACGTTTTCCCAATGATCTTGGCATTTTATACCGTATGATAAAATCTACCAGTATCTCTTGTTGGTGACGAGCAACCCTTCTGGACTTCTTTGGTTCCTTGAGTGTAGAATGTCTTGGAGTAATCATAGATGGTGGGGAGAGAAAACAGGCATGTGATTAGCCAAATAGGCATGTGATTAGCCAAATAGGCAAGAGAGATTGCATAATAACCTAAGACACAGGAGACTGAGTGGGCCCAGGAAAATCTCCACCTACCTCTATCAGAGAAAAGAGGTTGCTTGCACGTTTGCTGAATTGCAATTCTGCGGGCCCAAGGTGGACTTGGAGCATCTTGCTCCAGCTTCAAGAGGGGATCAGATCATAGTTTAGTCTCCAGGGGCCCGCTTGATTCCCTTTATTGACAATTCCAGTTCCATAGTAGTGGACTTTATTGACTTGGAATTAAATAGGTGACTTCGGGTTCAGGCGTCCCCCACTCCCCGCCACTACCAGCCTTAGGAAATAGGGCGTGAGACACTCCCTACCTCTCCCTAGGTCCGTGAAAATTTCGAATGCATCACTCAACTAGCGATGACTCAAGTGGGCTGGGCAGTGGCTAGGGCATTATGCACCTAGGGCCACTACTTATGGGCTGAACCTGGAGGCGTGCCTGCTATGGTTGACCTAAGGGCGTGAGAGTACTTTATTGAGGTGGGAGAGGCTGGAGTGGTGTTGGAGAAATGCTGCTCCAGAATGCCTAGGCAGACACCCGTATTGCGGCTGTGTTGGGAATTCTGGACTGACCGACGATGTCTAGTGGCAGGTGCAGCAGAGAGGGCCAGTCCTAGGACAAGCTCATTTCGTGCACTTGACAAAGGGAAAGTAGCAGCACCTGGGGTCTAAGGGAGCAGTAGCCTTCAAAGAAAGCAGGGGATGGAACTGGCCCGCCCGCCCGCTACCTGTCCAAGGGCCTTGGGAACAGGGAAGTCAGCCGACGGTGGCCACTGAAGCAGCTTTCAGTTTTCATTGAGGCTGCTAGTTACTGTTTAACATCCCCACCCACGTTTCAGTTTGTTTAGTAAATCGATCGGTCCGTAGGACTCGGGCTGCTGCCCTGTCGCCATTGAACAAAGCTAATACTCGCTAGAACATATGGTAAAGTCTTTGCTAGCGACTTAAAAAAAAATAGAAAAAGAAAAAAGAAAAGAGAAAGAACGAAACAACCTTCCCTCTCAGGTCTTCACTTCACTGCACCCCTACTCCTCCACCCCAGGTTTCTACAAACTGCCTCCTCCCAGAAAAGCGCCGTGCCGGACTCTGTAGGCGCGGGGGTGGGTGGGGGAATCTACTCCTGGGAGATGCCGCTGCTGCTGCCCAGCTGATTTCAACGCCAGAGCCCCAGGAAGCGAGCGACTCCTCTGTCCAGGTGAGTAGTTTCCTCCGGACATCCGACTGCAGCTGCAGTAGCAGCAACTGCAGCAGCAGCAGCAGCAGAAGAAGACTGAGGAGCCGGGTAGCAGCCTCCCGCTGGTCTGGGGGCTGGGCCCACGTGCCCTGGCGCTTCCACAGCCCGCCTCCCCAGGACCTGAGAAAGGGAAAGCTAGCAAAAGTGGGCCGAATATTTACACCCCCTTCTTCAGGTCGGTCAGCAAATGTGAGGGCAGTAACTAGATCCTATCCTCGCTCCTTCCCCTGGCAGCCCTTGAAGAGGTAGCAGATTTGGGAAAGGGAGGGGAGGAGAGATGTGCTATCCAGTAACCAGAGCAAAACAGAGCAAAGAAAAGTTGGGTTGTATGGGTGGAGGCAAGTACAATGGTAGCTGCAGGTGAGTCACGTGCCATTCTGGTAGCCGGGGGAGTTCTTTGGCCTAGGGGAGGAGCAGGGGCACGTGTGTGTCTGGGTCTGGGGGGTGTTCGTTGTGGTGGTGCAGATTTGAGAGCTTTGGGGCTCTAAGACACTAACCAGGTAGGCCTTTATTCTCTAAGCGCTTCATCATTTCACAAGTAGCTCCTGCTGATGCTCTTGGAAGAGCTTTGACTAAGAGTAGCATTTATTAATATTGAATCATATATTGTACACACATTATGTATATATTTATATATCCACACAATATACACATTCATGCATATGCATATGAATACAGAAGTTTACTAAAATTATAGAATGTTAGATCTTGTAGAGACAAAAGAGGTTATATCAAGGGAGGGAACAAGCATTTATTACTTAGCACTTTACAAATACCTCATTTGATCCTCACATAAATACAGTGAGGCAGGTGCTGTTATTATACCCATTTTACAGTTGAAGAAACCAAGGCAGGTTAAGTGACTCCCCAAGGTTATATAACTGGCAAGTGTCTGAGGCTTAATTCCAGATCTTTCTGAGACAAGTGCCACTGTAGGGCCTAGCTGCTGAGGAACATCTAATATAATCCTGCCCTTTTACATATAAGGAAATTGAGGTACAGAGAAATCCATTTGTTTGTGTGAAGTCATATGACTAATTGAGAGGCTGAAATCTGACTCCCTTGTGAATGGCCTGATTTTCTTTCCACTAGACCATGTCATGGCTATATGTGACTTTTCCCATGTATATGTATATCAATAGATATGCAATACGTTTATGATATTTTAGTTTCCCTTAGAAACCTTTTAAAAATTTAAACTTGAGTACATGTGATCACACTACTTTGTTTACCTAAGTGTCAGCCAACATGTGACCAAATGGTAGGATTCCATGAGGGGTATGTGTGTTTTGATACATTGACCTTTTAAGACATACCTCCAATGAACTCATTGTCCATTGGCAGGAAAGTTCATGTCCACTCTTCTTTAAAAAGTAAAATTCACTTTCAAGACTGATTTTATGAACCAAGACTAGAAGTTACAGAATCACAGAAACTTTAAATGTTAATAAGATATCTTACAAATTGTGTAGTTGCTACCCTCTGTTCTTTTGTTAGCTTTCTTTTCTAAGTTACAATCTCTATTATCTCCCTCTTACATAATTTCGTATACTTTTACTAAATATTGTGTTACTTCTTCCTATGTATTTATAAGTTCTATATGTATATTATTCCATGTTTTCTCCACCTTTTCCATCAAATACAGACGACTGCAAGTTTGTTTTCATTTTCATTGGTGGTGGTAATAATAATGATAATAAAAGATGAGATAAAGATTATAGTAATAATTATAGCTGGCCTTTATTTACAAGTTTACATACATTATCTCATTTAAGCATCAAAACAAGTTGTCAGGTAATACATTCTGCACATATCTGCACTTAACAGTTGAGCAATCTGGAGTACACACTTTAAGTGAATTGCCTATAACCATACAAATGGTAAGAACCAGAGGCAAGATTTCAACTTATATAATCAGTCATCATCCATAATTAACATAATTGTTTATCTTTCATCTTTTCCAATCAAAGGCTGGATTATTTACACAAAGCATTTACCTGGTGCACGCACACACACACACAAACACACACGTATACTTTTAGAAGTAGGAAAGGGAATAGCATTGGTCTGTCATCCTGGGAAACTACTTAGTGGCCTGGAAATTTAGGAATTTATAGAGTGTGTTTTGTGGTGCCTGACCTTGACCTTACCTGATGAATTTAATTACCTGTAGACATACTAGTTCCTTATTGTTATTAGTGGCACATATACCGGTTCACTAAAGTGCCTGATATGGGCTGCAGAGCCTTCTTATTAGCCTTTGCCTGGTCTCTAGGAATTTATTTGTTTATTTATCATTAAGACCCCAACCTCTTAATTTATATGTAACCTTTGTGTCAGAAGTGCTAGTAATACAAAAGGCTCTGAGGATTATCATGCCTCTCCTCAGTGGAGCTCCAATCTAGGAACCTGAGAAATCCGTATTACTGGATAGCCTAGTGTTCTGCTGCTCACATTCATAGTTAAATTCACCAAAAAATATTTTTGAGACAATTATTCTACACCATTTAGTATCTCTGGAACATGGAGCAAGTCACAGTCATTGTGGGGGCTATAATTTCCTTATCTGCAAAATGAAAGGGATGGACTCAATGACTTCCAAGTTCCCTCTTATCTATAAATCTATGATTTTATTATCAAGGACAAACAGGTTTCAGGTATCCTCAGTAGCCTCATATTCTGACATATTTGACTATGGGGGACCAATTGCTCCTTTTTGTTCCTCCAGTGGGATGATTATTGCTGGACTGAACTGCTTCCTTACATTGGAAACTAGTAGAGTCAGAGTACTGCTGGGGCAAATTTGTTTTTCCCTGACACTCATTGCCTTTTGCTTTAATCCACTTAATAAGTCAGAGATAGCCAGCAGATCCCAGCAGTGGTTATATTTGCCTCTTTCTTCTTACCTAAATTAGAATCAACTTCCCTCTTCCAAGCAGACCTTTTGAAATTGGGTGATACACTAATGATTAGAGAAATGCAAATCAAAACAACTCTGAGGTACCATATCACACCTATCAGATTGGCCAACATGACAAAATAGGAAAATGATAAATGTTGGAGAAGATGTGGGAAAATTGGAACATTAATGCACTGTTGGTGGAGTTGTGAAATGATCCAACCATTTTGGAGAGCAATTTGGAGTTATGCCCAAAGGGCTATGAAAATGTGCATACCCTTTGACCCAAGCAATAGCACTTCTAGGGCTATATCCCAAAGAGATCATACAAGTGGGAAAAGGACCCACATGTACAAAAATATTTATAGCAGCTCTTTTTGTGGTGACAAAGAATTGGAAATTGAGATGATGCCCATCAATTGGAGAATGGCTGAACAAATTGTGATATATGAATGTAATGGAATACTATTGTGCTGTAAGAAATGATGAACAGAGCTATGTGACCCTGGGCAAGTCACTTAACCCCAATTGCCTACAAAAAAAAAAAGAAATGAACAGGCTGACTTCAGAAAAACCTGGAAAGACTTGTATGGTCTGATGCTGAGCAAAGTGAGCAGAACGAAGAGAAAATTGTACACAGTAACAGCCACATTGTGCGATGACTAATATGACCCTTCTCAGCAATGCAAGGATCTAAGACATTTCCAAAGACCTTGTGATGGAAAATGCTATCCACAAAGAAGAAAGAAGTATGGTGTTTGAGTGCAGATCAAAGCATGCTATTTGCTATTTTTTTTTCTTCAGTTGCGTTTTGTTTCCTCTTTCTGGTAGTTCCTCCTATTGGTTCTAATTCTTACTTTTGTGAAAATATGTTTAATAGGAATGTGTGTGTATAGCCTATATTAGATTGTGTGCCATCTTGGGGGGGGGAGGTGGGGAGAGAAGGGGAGAAAAATTTAAAACTCAAAAGCTTATGGAAGTGATTGTTGATAATTCAAAATACATTAATTAAAAAAAAAGAAATTGGTTGATGCAGTCTGGGTACCAGAATATAGCTCCCATTTAGAAATGGAAGTCAGAGGAAATGGAGAACAATATAGGAAATGTTTCCTTGCACTCGATTTAAATACATCTTTCTATGGTATATTGCATTCGTAGTTTTAGAGGCAACTTGGCAGGGAATAGAGTACATGCCCTGGAGTAAGGAAGTCCTGAGTTCAAATGTGACCTCTAACACTGCTCAGCCTCAGCTGTAAAATGAAATGATAACAGCATCTACCTCTCATCTTTGTTTTGAGGAAAAAAATGAGGTAATATTTATAAATGTGCTTAGCACAATGTCAGAAACATAGCAGGTACTAAATAAATGCTGATTCCCTTCCCCCTTTCCTATCAGTGGATATCTTAATTTATATGGTTCTTGTAACTAACTGTGGCATAAAATATATGCCATATAGGAAGAAAATAAAAATAGTCATGAAATAAAGGTTTATTATACATATTTTAATATGTTCTTCCATAAATATAATATTTTATTTTTGAGTAATAGACTGCTATATTGGTAGGATCTATTTGGATGCCTGACTGAAGATGTCAGTGCCTTATAAGAAGTCCTTTGCATTTGTAATATCTGATGATCACTCATTAATTTGTAGTTGTAGATGCCATTTGCTGCTTCTGTTGCTAGTCTACGCTTCTATGCTTCTGTGTCTTCATCCCGGAACTTTTTCACATCTTTGCTTAAAATGAGTCATTCCACTGCCATCTGAAAAAAAAAAACAGCTTCAAATAAGATGATACAACTGTGGAATGCTGGAGCCCAGTAGCAACAGAGCGATCAATCTTCAGATGTTTGAGTTAGTACTGGATTCTCACTTTGGTAAGATGTTTCAAAGTGGATTCTAGGGATTTTTAAGTGCCTTCATCCTCTGAGTTTCTGTGCTTCTGTTACCTGGGGTACAACAGTGAGCCCTTTTAGAATTTTTTTTTCCATTCAATCTCTTTATAGGAGCTAATTAATTAAGTGACCTATTTATTAATTTAATAATAGCTAACATTTATG